ATCACATTTTATTTCCAAATACACGCAAAAGGCCGGCTTAATAAGCTCCTCCCCCTGCTCCTAATTTTTTGGGTTGCCTTCGCCCCATGCCTCTGCACGACTCCCATTTAAATGGGAGCTCGAAGAAACTACAGATTTCCTTAAGCATGGAAACAACAAAATAGTTCAATTTTTCCTCCTTGACGAAGTCACACAAGTCATAAATGTCATAGACAATCGGATGCGTTAAGCCATTTTCTGTTACAACTGATTTGACAGTGGTCATGTGATTCACTTCCTCCTCGTCAATTAATTCCTCGTCAGATTTATCGTAAACCGCGGTGCTCGGAGACGAACCTGCCCGTACTCCATCTCGAGGAGGACAAACGGAAGAAAAATCCTTGTAGTCTTCCTTGTATTTGGGCTTTGGTTCGCCACACTTCCCGGGAAAACAGGCGCTCCTTCCCCCCTTCGCTTTCCTCATAGCTTGCGAGACTTGTCGCAGATCCTCTTTCCTTCCAGGTTGCTCACCAATTTCAAACTTGGAGGTGAGATACTGCCTTACTTTCTCTTAGAAGCGAACAGCGCCACCCTTTGGCTTATGAAGTGCCCATCCTTCACTTAAATTCGACTGGAAAGGTTCGCTACCCTGTCTCTCAATAACATTGGTACTGTCGTCTTCTGAAAGGGTAAGGGATTAGAATTTTTCAACCCAGGTTAAATCTAGAGATTTCAAAGCTGTTCTAGTGTCAAAAATAAAGGAAATGACCCATGAATTCCAGTGCTCAGTGGAAGGATAATTACACCATCAAGCAGTGAGCCAATGGCCCTTGTAGCTGTCTATAATGGAGAGATTGTAAGTTGGTTATGAAAATTACACTTTTTTTTCTTTTGCTTTGACTTTGTGACGTGGTTTTGTTACAATTTGAACAGAAACGCGTCACTCTTACGTAATGTTTTAACGGGAAATCAAACAGCATCATTTTATTTCCAAGTAGATATATATTCAGCCGTTCTTAGCCACCATTTTGCCAGAACAAAGTATATGTATATGTTAAGAGGGGTCCAAAAAAAAAACATTTTACTTGTAAAAACCTTTGTGTTTTTTATATTTTTGCATACTTACAAAAAATTGTAGAGGGTAAATAAAAATGAAAAAGAAAATGTGTCCTGCATAGCAGTCTTTCAAATTTCCTTTTAGCCAACAGGGAGTCGTGCAGAGGCATGGGGCGAAGGCAACCCAAAAAAATAGGAGCAGGGGGAGGAGCTTATTTAGCCGGTTTTTTGCATGTATTTGTATATACAATGTAATAAGCGGGGTACAGCAAAAAATCGGTTTACTTATAAAACTCTTTGTCGTTGTCGTATGAAAAAAAAAGTACAGGAAAATTGCAAATGAAAAGAATGGGGTTTAGTGGTAAAAGGTCACACCGAATCAAGGAATGAGCTGAAACTAACATAGTTCACTTGACAATTGTATGTCAGGCTTATAAGCGAAAAACGCTAAAAATTGTACATTGCTAGTTTTATTAACACCTTACGTAAATGAAATTGGTTACTGTTACGGAAAATCATATTTTAGAGTCAGCTTTATATAAAGCAATGATTTTGCGTACATTCTTGGGAACAGCAAAAATGATTTAGAACAAACCTTCTAAGTATAGTGTTCATTCCGTGCAACAACGCATAAATAAAAAGTTGTGGAAGAAAAGACACCTTATTTTATACAACTGAGGACAAGCAAAAAGGTCATATGGGTACCTCGCTTAAAAATATTTAAATAACTCTATTATTTAACACCAGGCCTAATTTAAAGGAAAAAGTTATGAGAATAAAATAAAAGTTGTCTGTACCACGAAGCATGCCTTCACTGTTTAGACTGAGAGTCCTAAGGCTTTGTTAGCATGTATTCGAATATCTTATGACGATAAGTCCGCCACCCACACCACCCTGCTCAGTGCTGTTTTCACTCAGCGGCTGGTCAGCGGTCACGTTTATGAGGTAAACATGGCGATCACTCTGATCACCGTTCTTGTCGATCAGAAAATCAAAATACCAGCGTGATATGGCCTCGAAGGTGAAGCAGTTATGTTGTTTGATTCGTACTTCACATTCGAGTCGAAGCTTGGGTGTCACAGGTTTTTTCCTACGGTGGAATCGACGAGGGAAATTCGACCACTAGTTGTAGTGTTTGAATTGTTGGAAGAAATGATCGCATGGGGATGCAGGAATGGTAGGTTTAACGAACAATTTCAAATTTTGTTCCTTGAATTGAAAGTGCAGTTCATTTGAATGCTTTCGTTTGTATTTCTGTCGGTTTTAGATCTACCTGCTCGATTTATATCTGCTACGCTTCATGTTGACAAGTCCCTCAAAATGGCGGCAAAACTTGGAGATTGCCGAAAATTAGGTAAGTTCACGGAGTTATAAAGTTTTAGTAAAGGTCGGGCCGTACAGTTTTTTTCTGTAGTTACCTTTTCTATGGCACCTACTTCCTAGCTATATTAGTTGGATCAGTTGAGAACGCCTCACTTTTTCAAAAATATACCTTGAATTTGATCGGTTTTCGCGTGTGTGACTTAAGCGGACCGATAAGGTGTCGTTCAAGTCTTCCTGTTTGCTTGATTGAAACGTGATGTTCACGAAAGTCGCCTCGATGGATAAGATAGAGTTAATATACATGGCTGTGGTATTTGTTTTTTGCTGAGTCCCGTAGTTTGTTGTAAATTGTCCGCCAAAGTTGCCTCAAATTAACGTCTTGAAAAGTGTCACGACAGGCCTTCGCTCGAGTGAAATTTAATTTCCGTAAAACTCTGAAAAATAAAGAGATCCGATCAAACGGATTGTGGTTTTAGTATAGGTACATGAATGTCTTACAACACACAAGAAATGAGCTAAATCTGTGTCTCAAGCAAAATCGACCGGACCGCTCTTACAGAGACACTCTCTTAAACGTCAAATCTGGTGAAGTTCTAAGTACAATGGATGTGAATGATTTTGTGACGTGTTTAGCAGCCTGTCCCCTTAATCGTGTTCTCGCCGTGGGCCTAGATCACTCAACACCTAACTTCAAAGTTATCAGAGTGCATTTGCCGCGAGGTGAAGACAGTAAAAACGGGAAAAGGTGAGCTTTAGGTAATTTTTACAGTTTCAGTATTATAAATAACTTTTTATATTTTAAGAATTGGTATGAAATGTAATTTATTCATCTTCCTTTATTTTATACTCTAACCTTTTTTCTAATGTCCAACGTAGCCTTTACTTGCGATTTTTTCTTGATGGCCTTACTAAGAGTGAGAATAGGCAACTTTCGATATATTAAAATTCAGCATGATAGCGAGTCTTAGAGGACACAAACAAAGAAAACTAATAAACCATATTTATTTATTTTCTTTGTTTTTGTTCTCTAAGACGAAAGTTGCCTATTCAAGTTGTGTTGAGGTTCCTTTCAACTTATTTAATTTTCTTCTTACTGCGAAGTTCAATATTGAGTACCTATTAATTACGGATGAGACTGACTATGACATGAAGAATTGTGTTGATCAAGGTGGGTGTTTATGTTATCTTCGATCTTCATATTCATGCCATACGAAAGCCAAAACAAAAAGTGTTTTATTGTTTATTCAAAATTTTTCCAACCTACAAACATGGTAATCTCGATCTATGCAAAGTTCCCGTTTTATTAACATTTACCTGTTCAAGGATATCAAGGATGTTTAGTTTAGCAGTTACTTGTACTATTCAAACAGCAATTGTCGAGTGGTCTTTTTGCTAACCTTGTGCGATTTTTCTCGCTTTGATTTAGACCCTGTAGAGCTACATTGAAAAATTCGAAAAGATGAGGTGCTCCTCAACAGGTATGTACCCCTTGACTAGTTGAGTTGTAGCCTGAGAAAACAGCCGACATTTCACGACGCCACCACTGGTTTCCACGCGAAATGACGTCTGACAAACACCTGGAGAAATTCCATACTGATGACGTGTCACTAACCAGAACGGGGAGTCAGTTCTGATTAATTGGTTGTGCCGCGTGCGAAATTTGCTTCCTCAGACGTAACTTCGCGGGAAATCGGAGGTAGCGTCGCGAAATGTTGGCTGTTTCCTCAGTTAAGATGGGCTGTAATGATGGGCGCTTTCCATTCAACAAAAATTCCGGTTTGAAATTTCGGAAACTTCACGTGCTCAATGGAACGGTACATTCCGGTTGCACAGACCCGACCCAAGCCACCGCGCGTTTTGTTATTGTGGCTTCTCAGAACACTCATAACTACGCTCTAAAAGAGAAAAGTAAATACTGTTTATGTCCTAAAGAACACTCGACTGTCGAAAAGAGGCGGTGGAAAACTAAAGGCGGAGGAATCCTATTTCGTGTAGAAAGCGTATGAATGCAAGTGAAGGTAAAAAATTCTTGTGAATTGAAGCGATACGTTTCTCAGAATATTCGAACGATTCGAAGCAATTCCTGGAACTGTACGGTAAATAAATTCGGTGTTTTAGCCAATTTGTATTCAGCCAGGCTTTGTTGTATTCATTTCAGCTTAATTGATAAATTGCTTTTGTTAAATATCGTGGACAGGTTTCAGACAACGCTGATTCTCACGGACTTTTATACAATTGTAGCTTGATTTCACAGACTTTTGTCACCTACGTGTCGTGTTGCGTCAGTTATTTGACACTGTTAATGGCAAATATCAAAAATCGAAAAAAACTGCAACTGATTCAAACTATTCGAGATGTTACGCTTTACTCACAGCACTTCACTTTCCAATGGAAACTACTTGGTCTTGTAAGCAGGATAGAAAACAGCGGTANTTTATGTCCTAAAGAACACTCGACTGTCGAAAAGAGGCGGTGGAAAACTAAAGGCGGAGGAATCCTATTTCGTGTAGAAAGCGTATGAATGCAAGTGAAGGTAAAAAATTCTTGTGAATTGAAGCGATACGTTTCTCAGAATATTCGAACGATTCGAAGCAATTCCTGGAACTGTACGGTAAATAAATTCGGTGTTTTAGCCAATTTGTATTCAGCCAGGCTTTGTTGTATTCATTTCAGCTTAATTGATAAATTGCTTTTGTTAAATATCGTGGACAGGTTTCAGACAACGCTGATTCTCACGGACTTTTATACAATTGTAGCTTGATTTCACAGACTTTTGTCACCTACGTGTCGTGTTGCGTCAGTTATTTGACACTGTTAATGGCAAATATCAAAAATCGAAAAAAACTGCAACTGATTCAAACTATTCGAGATGTTACGCTTTACTCACAGCACTTCACTTTCCAATGGAAACTACTTGGTCTTGTAAGCAGGATAGAAAACAGCGGTACTGGGGACAACAATTTTGGCAAATGGAAAGGGACTTTTCGGTCCGACCGACCGAAATGACCAGACCGGTCACACTGGACCACCTTCAAAGCTGGTCCCGAATATTCCGGTCGGACCAAACCGAAATGGTCCGTTCCATTTGATGAACCAACCGAAATTACCGGAATTTTGGGTTGAACGGAAAGCGCCCCTGATGTCTAGGCTTTGCACTAGTACTGCTGAATTTATTTCCAATTCGTAACCGGCTTTAGTTTTTTAAAAATAACATATAGATTTAGCCAGGGCTAAAAGCGAAGCTCCTATTAACTCGAATTTATAATTTAAATCAAACAATAAACTTTCAATTGTATTCCACAAATCAGTTAACTTTAGAGCACATTCATGTGACTTTTGAGGGAAAGGCTAAGTGATTTTAGAGTAAAATAATTTGCAAACAGTCCAAGCTAAGAGTGAACTTAATCTTACATCGAGTTGATAGCCTTATATGTACACTCAAAAAATAGCAATCATCTTCGATCACATTCAAGAGCCATAATGGCTTTTGATCACAGTAGATTAGGCCTGGAAAACAAATTCTTGGAAAACAAATCAGGCCGAATGTTTTGCGTTCGACAAGTTTACAATTTATTTTACAAAATCTTGCCAACAAGTCTGGGGACGTGTAAACCAACCTTTTATACTTTTTATACATCATCTGTGGTGAAACAGTACCATGAGGCACTGTTTTTATCATACAGACCTCGGACAGATCACAATTTTGCCAATTATACAAATTGCACTCATTCAATATTCAGGACGATCGAAGCACGCGTGGGCTTTTACCGAAACCGTTAAAAGAATTTCCAAAATCACCTATATGGCTAGCCGGTTCTCACTTTTGACAAGCGCCAAAGTCGACTGTTTAAATCAAGATTAATAGAGTTATACGCTTCAACATGATAAAAAATTTATTATGTTTATTTTTTATTTTCCATGTAATGGTTTTATAACGATGTGTAATCTTCAAAAGCGTTATACACGCGGCATTTTGACTACTCCTGCAAGCGATGTTCGTGAGCGACTGAAAACAAACGGCACAGCGATTAAAATTGTAAAAGAGACTACTAACAATCAATGAAAGGATAATAATTCGGTGAAACATATACAGAGACAACAGTTTTCACTCACGAAGACAAGTAAAAAGTGTCTCTGAAAATCCTTGTTTATGTTTTAAGCCGCCTTCCCGGCGTTTGCTTTCTTCAAAGATGAACTCGAGGCAAGAAAATCGCTCAAAGCTTTCTTTTACAGCCAGAATTATAACTAAATATTCTTCGGAACGTTTTCTTTCTATTTGCGGTTGAGAAAATGTCTAAAGGCTTTTTAAAGTTCTATAAGCTTATAATCAAACCTGATACTCGGTCAGATCATCGTCTCAAATAAACAAACATCAAATACAATAATTTCTTAGGCTTACCATTCGAGATGCACTGAAGACTATCAAGTAAGGCCAGAATCGCTTTAGACTTTTCAACCCTCTTACGCATCAAGCAAGGTGAAAAACGAAAACGATACCATCCGAAATCGGATTTCCGACTTTGGCAAGCAACGTATTTCTCAACCAAAAACCCAATAAACAAACTATCTATGAATAACACAAGACTCTTGATAGCAGCAGAACTTCATTTTGTACATTCAGAGGACAGTCAAAAACATCACAAGTTGAGGCAAAACTCTGTCAGCTTCAGCTGTCAAAGTAAACAAGCTTCAAGATGCTGCATAAATTTTCCACATGAACTCACCTGTCAAATTTTGACCAATCAGAGCATAAAAATTGGACGTAGAGCGTGACCAAGGCGTGACCGTGGTGAGAAAAGTCAAAAGCAACTGGCATGTCTTCCCTGCCTGTAAAAACAGGCTGAATTTTAGCTTCCGATATCAGTTTGAAATCAAAACTTTAATTGTGCGGCACATAAAACACAACATATTTGATATGAATAAAAAAAATCAAACTTGAGCCTGCGATCATTTGAAAACTAGTAACTTGTCAGCGGATAACTTCAAAAAGATACTCGACCTCGATGGGTCGACACCTGAGCCCTCAATAGGTCAGGTGATACTGGTCAGCGGATACCCTGTTTTGACAGCTGTCAATTGATCACAACATTGATGTGCAATATGTGTGCAATATCAGTCTTCCTGTGCTCCCAAACTAGCTAGAAAGGGTGGGATTGAACATTCGTTGCCCTGTGGTGCGGACGGACGGGCAGCGGGCGGGCGGACGGTGTACGGTCACGTGATTACCAAATTTTCTGGGATGGGTAGATTTACTTACCCGTGGTGCTCCGCAAACGCGCTTCGCGCGCCAGAGCTCCGATATTATTGTTCTATATTCTATCAACCTTTCGTAACAACCTGTCGAATTACACTACACAAAATAGATTTTCATTACTTCAGTAAAAATTGACATATTTACGAAAAGCTTAGAGGTAACTGTTCACAACTTTTAGCACTTTTTGAGCACTATTTTGAGATTTTGAGCACTTTTTGAGCACTTTTTAGCCATTTTTGCCAGCACTTTTTAAGGATTTTACGAGCGCAATCGGGAAAGGCCTAGAGGCCAAGAAAGGACTGTTAGGATGAAAATATCTTCTTGCAAAACATTTGTAACAAGTCGGCCACATAGCCTTTCCTTTCTCAGCCCAATTCTTACTGTTAAATTAAAAATTAAAAGAAGGCCTCCGAATTATCTAAGCATGATTTAAGCATTAATTAAGTGGAAGAAAACGTAGTTTGGAAAGAGTACTTGCTTTATCATCTTTACACA